CACGCCACAGCTGGCCACCAGAGGGCGCTGTGGGTCAGCAGGCCAGGGAGACCTCGGCTTCAGGACGGTGGGAGGGCGCAGCTGTGCCTGTGGACTGTCTGCGAATGTACCTGAGCAGCTGTGGCCTCCCCGTGCCTGTACATGGCTGTGTGGACGTAGGTTTAAAGGGGTCTGTGGGGTTGGGACTATGCCAAGGTGTGTGAATGAGCAAGAGAACACAGAGGTGAGAGCAGGGGCCCCAGCATCTCCCACTCCTGCAGCCGCACTGTCATTCCCCTACATGCATCCATCTCAGGCGTGTGCTCCCCAGACATCCTCAGGGCTCCTCCTCAGGTCCAGGCTCAGGTTACCTCCCAGGGAGGCGTTTTAGACTTCCCTCTTTAAAGTTACAGTCCCCACCCCACCCATCCATGTCCCTGTCTCCATCCATATTCCTTTCCCTCCTTTTCTCCATAGGAATTATCATCCTCTGGCAGACTGCTTGCACTTGGGCATTTTGCTGGGGCTCACCCACTAGTCCGTCACCTCCGGAGGGCTGGGAGTTGTGTCTATCTTGTTCAGTGTTGTGCCCTCGTACTAGGCACACAGTACGTGCTCAATAAATAGTTGTTGAATGAATGAATGAGCTTCCCCGATCCTGGGTTCAGACCACCCTCTCTCCAGCCCTCTGTCACCCCAGGTCCTGCCCACCTCAGCTCACACCCACATCAATGCTTGGTTATACCCTCCCTTTCCTCCCATGCCTCAGTTCCCTGGAGTCTGCAGAGAGGGGTGTTTGGGACTTTTCTTCTCAGAGTCAGGGTAAGAGGCAGCTGTTGTGACCCTGTCAAATGCCCCTCTTGGTTTCTGAATGGCGGTGGGGTCCCCCAGCCTCACTGTACTACTTCCAGGCAGAGGGCGGCCGGCAGATATTGCTGCAGCAGCTGAGAAACAGCTCTCCTGTGGTGCTCCCCACTGGCCCTCCTGTGCGGCCCCTTTCGTACCTACAACCCTTTCTAGGGAGACTCTTGCTTCTTTGCCTGAGAAGCTCCTACAGATCCTTCAAGGTCTAGTCTTAAAGTCACCTCCTCTGAGGAGCCTTCCCTGACCTCACCCAGGTGGAGTCTGGCGTCTTCCTGGGACTCTTGCTCATGCATCTATTTATAGCACCCTCATGGAGTTTTGTAATTCTTGGGCTGTCTGTCCAGCTCCCTGACTAACCTTGTCAATGTCTCCAACTGGAGGGCCTGTCTGAGTCATATGGGTGCCTGGGAGGTCAGCATGGGCCTCGAGGCATTTCATTGATATCTGTGGCATGCTTCTGTCCTTTCTTTGTTTATTCCTCAAATATTTATTAGACACCTTCTATGTGCTTGGCCCTGGGCTGTGCATCAGGAATACAGCAGAGAATGAGTTGGCAAGATTCCTGCCCAGGAGGGGCCCACAGTGTAGCGGGAGAGATACTGGTGGCACGAGTGCCGTGCAGAGAATTAAAGCTGATCTGGGGAATGCCTAGGAAGGCCTCTTAGGAGAGTTCATGTAGGAGAAGGTCTGCAGGATGACAGGGAACCAGCCCCAGGAGTGATGATGAGAGGGTAGGGGAAAATGTTCCAGCAGAGGGGACAGCTTGCAGGGGTGGCGGCCCTGCATCAGGACCGGGATTGGTATGTTCAAGGGGCAGCAGGAAGGCCCAGGAGCAGAAGGGCAGGGGAACGTGGCAGGAGTGGAAGTCCGACTGGTCGGCAGGACCTGAACCCAGAAAGCCCACCGGGCCCAGCTTGCAGTCCTGCCAGGGTAGTTGCTCCTGGTGCCCATCTTCAGATGGAGAAGCAGCAGGTCCTGAGAGGAAGCGAAAGGCCCAAGGCCGCAGAGCACATTTGGACGGAGCGCTCTGGGCCACTCCAGACACCAGCAGTGGGAAGGCCAGCATGGCTTCCTGTAGGAGGCGGCCCGCAGTGTGTTTACAAACATTTCCTGGGCATTTAGTGAGGGCCAGGCTGTGAGCCAGCAATTCCTCAGCCCGAGCTCAGGAGCCCCTTTCAGAGAGGCCTCCTTGTCCCACGGGACAGGCGTGGAGCTGCTCAGTGACTTCCAGTGAGTGGCAGAGTTGACATTGAACCCATACCTGTCTGCATCCATAGCTCACGGTTTTCCACCCACTTCCTGGAAAGGGTAAGCAAGGGACACAGGAAGAGAAGGATAATTACAAGGTCCCCCCCTTATCTTATCTGGCCCTCCCCATCACTGTACGGGTGGGGTGGGGCCTGCAGGGATCACCCCTGTTTTACAAAGGGGCAAGCAGAGGTCAGCACCCCTGCTCCAAGCGTTTCCAGCAGGCGTTGGAATTTGCTTCCATCACGTGAGGTCCCTGGCAGGCCACACACTCATGCCTGCCCTAGGCCAAGGGCTGGCCTCCTGACCTTTGCCAGGTGCTTCCTGCCCTCACTAGCCTGTAGCTTTCCATCCAGTCACCTGATCCCAGCACCAGACTGATCATCGGCGAGGACTGGCCCATCTGGCCATTACCCAGAGGAGCTGATGAGGCCCCAAGAGGAGAGGAGAGAACCAAAGGCCCAGGGACAGCCAGGAGGAGACCCTTTTCAAGGCTTGCTGAGTGGAGTAAAATACACTGAAATGCCATCTTACTCTCAGACGCAGTTTCCCCATGTGTAGAATGTGGGACAGCAGCGACGCAACCGTGAACAAAGATACATCTATCGGCTTCTTACGAGGTCCCACCGAGTTCACGCTGCATCCCCGCGGCTCACAGTGCGGATGCAGAGCAGGTCCTGGCGGATGTTTGAAGCAGGAGTGGGTGCCGCCTGCCGTGCCGGGTTTGTGTCAAACACGTACGGAGTGTCCTGGGGAGCCCAGTGCCATTCTCATCCGAAGCGCCAGGAGGGGAACACTGGGGCTCGGGGTTTTCTGACTGGCCAAGGTCACCCCAGCTAGGAAGTGGCCGCGTCGGGATCTGCACTCCGGGGCGCACTTCAACCACCGCCCCCACCCCGTCCGCGGCACCCTACCTTCCCGCTTCCCCACGCCCGCGG